AACGGGAGTCTAACAGCTGCGCTCGAAAAAAACAACAACAACAAACGGACCTCTGAAATACACAAGACGAAAAGTGTAGATTGCTAGGTGCAGGCGTCAATTTTTAAAGTCCATTTTAGATCGAACTTGGTGACTTGGGAGATATGTAAACGTACCCACACAAACGAACACACACAAGCCAGATGTTAGGGCTCCGTGAAGATTTAACACGATGCGATACAAGCTGTCATTTGCCGAACTAAACCGCATCACGAGAATTTCTGTGACTTCTTCGAAGAAATCGCTTGTTGCCGATATAAGCGTGGACTTTTCAAACACTGAAGGCTCGTTCACACTCTTGCAGCTGAGTAAGGCCGAGAGATACCAAACCGGTTTTTAAGCCTCTTGCGATCTCTTAGGACCAGCTCTGCTTTAAAGCATCCGGTCCTAAGAAGTCGCGAAAGGCTTAAAAACCGGTCTTGTCTCTCTCGGTCTTACTCGGTCGCAAGAGTTTGAACGGCACTTAAGAGTTCAGTCAGGGCCAGGGAAAGGAATGCAGGTAGGGGGAAGCAGATGGGTTGCGGGAGAGGTGAAGAGGAAACATTCCCCTCCCTCCAGCATTTCACCTGCATCCTGTTTCTTCAAGGTCCCCAGGTGGGTGCGCCCACAAAAGGCTTATCTTGGAGGGTCATCCGACCAACGAACACAGCGAGAGGATTTGTTAGTGTATACTTTTGTGAGCTCGTCCCAAAGTTGATAGTGCAGTGCATGCTATGTGAGTGGTCTACCAAGCAGTGTCTTCAGGCAGGTGCCGTGCTCTGCCTTGTGACCCGCTTGGAAAGTATAGTTCCGTGGCCGTAACCGGAGACGCGCTTGGCCTAATACACGCATAGCCTCTATTCTGCTCTCATACCGAGTGAACGGGACAGTAGCACGAAGGCTACTCGGCGACAACTTTTCTTGGCAATGCAATGGAAGATACAGGCCCACGCTCCCTCTCCCATTTTGAGCGATGAATAAAGCTGTGCGCGGGCTCCCCTCCTTTCCAGTGCATTGCCAAGAAAAGTTCTCGCCGAGATAGTTTTTAGAGTCCCAAAGGAACTGCCATTCTCAAATGTTAACCAAAAACGGGAGTTATGAAGATGCTATGTTTTACGCCGTATATCTCGCAGCACGCTAATAGCAGATTTTTTGTATCGCGAGGGTTGTGTGCATATAAGAAAAACTGTACCAATCCTTAAACCATGGAATTATCATTGCAACACAGATGCAAAAATCCCCAAAGCTGAAGCAAACAAAAACGCTACTCTAACAAAACGATGAAAACACATGGAGGGGTTCTGGGCTCGAAAGTGCTAACGACTTATCATATCGCAGAATAATGAAAAAAGAAAAAAATATCAGCAATAGCGTCTTCATATTTGAGGAATTAGCAGAACAGTGAGTTAATAGGACGTCTCTAAGGTGGCGAAAAATGCACAATTAGGTAAGTAAACATTTCTTTCGGGTGTTAAAAAGTGTTTTTAATGTATATTTCGTCGTTCTCGACCAGGACGTCGACGGACACAGTGCCGCTCCTTGCGCCCCTGTCGAGGGGAGCACTACCTTTTTCACGTTGTAATGACGCTATATTGTGCTACAGACTCGTATATTTGACCCGCATGCAGCCTCGAGCGAGTTGTTCGGAATGTCGGCGTAGCAATCGCGACATGAGAACCGACTGCGCCTCGATTTGGCCGACCGCGCTCGCTCTGCTGCAATGTGAGCGTGGGAATTTCGACCACGGTTAGCACACTAGTGTTGCAAGAGGCTGCTTTTTCGTTGAGACCTTGCAAACGCCTGCGAGCCGTTTCAGTACTTGGCGCATCTCCCGCGCAGCATCGCAACCCTTTTTAGCGCCTGCTAGGCAAAGAGAGCCCGTGGCATGTGCTCCGGTTCATTCTTAGTTGAAGCAGAGTAAATGAACCGTTGCGGCGATGCGTGATCTTGAAAAATAAACAGAGAAAAATTATATCGCAGGTTTTTTCAGTTTCAGGTGGCGATTTGAGATATGAATGCTGTAAATGTCATGGAGGGATCAATGTGTTGACACTCTTATTGCGTTCATTTGACTTCATCTCTACACTAATAAACTGATTCTTTGATTTTCGAGACTTGCGCTTTTCTAGAGAGCTTCGTGACAACGCCAGTCGTTCCTTGGCGCACCGAATCCTGCAAAGCCAATGAACTACACCAAAACCACACCGTTGTAGTTCCGTGCAATCCGGGGGCCAGTGAATACAGTGAAGCGCCACAAAATTTTTAAAGGTTGGTTGCCACCCACCTGCCTACCCTGGTCGGCTCGGACCAAAAAGAGGACAAGGGGCGCCAAGAAAGTCCCTTTCCTGGCAGTTCCGTGTAATTCCGGTGCCCGGGAAATACAGTGAGACGCCATGCTGGCAGTTCACCGAATTCTCTGGGCAGTCCTCGTTCAGTTTACTACGGACAAGGCCCAATCTTGGCCCCGTCTAAGCAACTGTGGTGCTTAAAGTGTACGATGTTGTAAACTCCTTCATCAAGCATCTATTCAAGATACAAGTTTAGAATTGACACCTTTGCCCTCAGATAAGTATTTAATAAAGTTTGCCAATTAGTTTTAATTCATGAATAACTTATTTAATTACAGCGTCTTCCTAGCAGCCTTTTTATCAAGACGCCTTCTTGCAACAGTTATATTCACTGCCTAGAGTATTTCATTCAATTTTAAAACTAGGTTCCAGAAAACAAGGCACCCTGATACCTTGCGCCAACATATTTTCAATGTTCGTAACCCATTGGCTAAGACAGGCCAACGTTGGTCAGCCTAAGCCAATCGATTATCAATGATGGTAACCCATTGCCTAAGACAGGCCACTGTTGACCAGACTAAGCCAATCAATTACCAACGTTGGTAGGGCACTGGCTAAGAGAGGCAAATGGTGGCCAGCTTAAACCAATCGATTGCAAACGTTGGTAACCCATTGTCTCGATAACAGTTTATATTTCTGCGGGCGTTGTCCCTACAGTGGTCATTACTGCAGTTGCCGTATTTTGTACGCACTTTGAAGTCATTTTTGGGCAAGCAGACAGAATGCCCCAGCTTCTTCTGTTACATGTTGCGTGATAATTCCTTTGTTTGCAGATCGAAATGCGCATCAACTTCTGTCACCTCCTACCTCAAACATAGGGTGTTCGAGATCTTAATTCAACTTGATTTTTATTCGTGAAGACATGTAATTGCTTAATCAATCGCTAGATATTTTTCTAATGTTTTTTTTTTGCTAAAAAGTATTAGTGCTTTGTATATATTTTTAATTTTGTTCGGTTCGGTCTGAATTATAGGCCGAGTTTTGCGGCTCAGCAAAGCGGGTTGCTTTGAGATTTTCAAGATCACATACAGCTGACAATACACCCGTGTCGTAGATACTGGGGGGGGGGGGGGGTGGAGCTTTTGGGGTTGAACCCTGCGCCCCCCCCCCCCCCCCCCCTTGGAAATGTTTCCTGGCTACGTTGCTTAATGGGCATAAGAGAAGAGGCACTATGCTTTTTGCTTTATAAACATACACACAAATCGAAGGGAGCGTGCATTTTGTATTCCGCGTGGAATTTACTGAGCATAACAATCAGTTTTGGGAGGACGCGCGTTAGTTATAGTCGGTGACAGGTGGTAAAAGCTCATCCCATCTCTTTCCACTTTTGCAGAGTGAAGGATCGGGAGGAGGCGACCGACCCAGCGTTTACTTTTAACCTGTCACCGACTACGGCGTTTTTCTTTTTGGGTGTTCAAAATTGCTACAGCTCGCAATGCATACAGCGTTCTAATTCAGTTGCTTTGTTGCTGTGCGTGTGAAAACAGAATAATCGTTCCCCCCGGAGCCATACCTACAGACTGTTCTCAGCGTGCGCGATCAGCACATAAAAAAACTGAGCCAATTAATTATAACGTTGGTAAGCTACTGGCTAAGACAGGCGAATGTTGGCCAGCCCAAGCCAATCGATTACCAATGCTGGCAACTAATTGGCTAGCATAGATCAACGTTGGCGAGCCTAAGCCAATGTATTACCAATGTTTGTAAACAATTGGCTAAGACAGGCCAATATTGGCCAGCCTAAGCCGACCGCTTGCCAACGTTGCTAAGCCATGGGTTGTTATTGGCCAATGGTGGCCAGTATAGGCCAATCGATCGCCAACGTTGGTACGCCATTGGCTGAGATAGGGCAGTATTGGCCTGTCTGAGCCAATCGATTGCCAACATTGGCAATCCGTTGTTCAAGACAGGCAAATGTTGGCCAGTATATGCCAATATACCACCAACATTGGTAGTACAATGCCCACATTTTCCCAACAATGGACAAGTGTTTGCCAATTAAATACCAATGTGGGCCCGACGTCGTGTGCTGTCTCGGTACGTGTTTGTTAGACCAATTAGTCGCTTACCTTTTACACCAGACCCCACTGTGGAGACCAAAATCTTGTTTTTATTTTCCTTTTCCCTGGAGCCCAGACATTTCACTGTCATCTTAAGCGTGAACGGGGGACTATGACGCCAATATGGTTGCGTGTGCTCGGGCACAACGGCGGCTGCTGGCTCGTGGAAAGATTGTGCGCCACTTGTTATAGACACTGAAATTCATAAAAAAAAATTGGGTTGTGTGTGTGTTTATACAGCCTAGAACTTGGTCTGCCTCACAGGGGCGACGAGTCTCCCAGCTGTAGGTGAGAAATTTAGCCAGTGCGGTACAGCCGCTAGCCTGGGGTCTTTAACGTGCATCACACAGTAGTGATACACGACCGCACGCCGGTACGATGCTCATCCAGATCGAAACGGGCAGGGGTGGGGCTCGAACCCAGGATCCCTGGGTTCTGCAGCGCGAGCTTTCGCTCCACGTGCTCCGAGCTGGTGTGCGCTAAACCACTCGGCCACCGATTTTTTTTTTTTTTATTACATGGAAATATTGGACAACTGCAAGACAAAAACATGGTAGGGTTATCAGATCCCAATTTCCATTACATATGATTCTCTATCTTATACTCTCATAGGCTCATTGTCGTGAACAGACAGAAGGAACAGAAAGGAATATTAAATAAATACAAAATGCACGTGCTAAAAGTCAGGTAGATTAATGCATCGATCAAAAAGAACATACCAATCTGGCCGCTCGTCAAGGTAGTTAAATACATTTCGTACATGCGTTACGGTTTCAATGAAATTTGATTTGGTAGATCGGGGAGGGTCCGCATTCCTATCAATCATTCTTGTTTTCCAGAGGCTATGCAACCCCATTAATGTAAACAGATCGTAAGGAAAGCTATCATTCAATTTTAAGGGCAAAAAACGTATTGTGTAAGCATTGATATTCAAGTCTTTTTTCAATGTCCTTTGTAGGACATCCCAGAAAAGGTAAGCATCAGTGCAGAAAATAAAACAATGCTCTATAGTTTCCGGTTGGTTACAAAGGCGACAATCGATTGACCACGGCACAAAAATTCCACGTTCGCGAAGCCAGGGTTTTACAGGTAACGTAGAAGTATGGAGCTTAAAGAAGAATGACTTTGCTGTAGGCGAGACATGTAGTTTTCGGACACGCCTGAGGACATCTTTTCCAGGGCCTTCACTATATATGCTTCGATACAAAGGTTCAGGGAACGTTATGTCAATCAGATCAGCATATAAGACTTTGCGTGAAACCGTAAATAAATGCTCCAAAGAAAAACGAGCTGTTAGAAACTCAATCGCGCTCACTACTTCTTTGAGGTACCCCACAGGACGTGATGTGCTTGCGGGTATCGTTGTAACCACCAAATAAGGTAATGCACTCGCGAGTTCCGTCTGTAAGTAAGTGCGAAGGAAATGATGAGATGCAGTTTTGAAGAATAAAAATCGAGATATTACTTGCTTTAGAAAGATGTGTATGAGTCCGAGACCGCCGACATCGATGGGGCGAAAGAGGTTATCACGTCTTGTAGGTTCCCAATTGGAACTCCATATAAAAGTAGCAAACACTCTGTGGAATTTTTGAATATGGCTTCTGGTACAGCAAATCACTTGAAGTATATACCAAAGTTTGGCGGCGAGAAACATATTACAGGCCTTAGCTCGCCCGAAAACTGACCACTGGTTGGATTTCATCTTGTCAGCTTGACATTTGATTTTCGACACCCGTTCAGTCCAGTAATGACCATTGTTACGGATACTGTTAAGAGGAACTCCTAAGTACTGAGGGGCAATGCAGCTCCACGATATTTCAGCATACTCTGATGGTGTTGTGGCCCATTGCCCGCACCAGAAACCTACGCTTTTCTCCTTATTAACGAGTGCGCCGGTTGCGTCACAGAAGTTTTGTGTTATTGTAAGGACATTGTCGACGCTGCGTTTATCGGCACAAAAGAAAGCTATATCGTCTGCATATGCCAATACTTTAACTTCAGAAGAGTAGAGACGGAAACCTTCCAGGATAGGGCTGTTAAGTACACTTAAACAGAGGGGTTCTAAATAAAGCGAAAATAAAAGCGGTGATAGCGGACATCCTTGTTTGACGGACGATTCCAGACTAATTCGATTTGAAAGTGAACCGTTAACTATGAGCCTGGTGGCACAGTTACGGTAACATAACTTAACACCCTTTAAAAGTGTTGGTCCTGGGTTTACATGACGTAAAATAGCAAACAGGAAAGCATGGGACACGCGATCAAATGCCTTAGCCAAGTCTACCTGAACCATGGCGACTTGACCGGCATGAAGAACGCAGCTTTCTATTACTGAACGCGCAACGTGGATGTTAGTTTGTATACGTCTCCCCCTAATCCCACAGGTTTGGTGGTCTCCAACAACAGATGACGTGACACACTGTAATCGTTTTGTCAAAATTTTAGCAAAAATTTCGTAATCTACGTTGCATAAACTAATTGGTCGATAGCCTTTAATGCGCTGTAATTTGTCTGGGTCTTGACTTTTAGGGATCAACACAGTATGGCTCTCATAAAATGACGGCGGTAAAGTTCCCATCTCGTACGCCTCCAAAAACACCTCAAGTAGGAAAGGACATAGCAAGTCCTTGTATGTCTTGTAAAACTCTGCAGGGAGCCCATCAGGTCCTGGTGTTTTAGAATTTGGCAACTCGTCTACCGCGCATCGAACTTCTTCCAATGTTACTGGTCCACTGAGGAGATCTCGCTGAAGCTGCTTTACCTTGGGCATTAAAGAAACTAAGTTTTTTGCCAACTGGATGTCTAAATGTTGCGTTTTTCCAAAGAGACTTTTGTAATGCAACTCAAGTGCCTTCATGATGGCTTCTTCGTTGTCTGAGAGTGTCCCATTACATTCTAAAACTCTAATTTTCTTTGAAAGGCCGTTACGCCTCTCATCATCGAGTGCACGGCGCGTGGGTGTCTCTGAGGACAAGAAACGCCTACACCGGGACCGTACTAGTGCACCGTGTAAACGAATGTGCTCGTATTGCTGTAGCTGACATTTTACACGAAGAATGTCTTCTTGGAACATACCAGGTGTTTCGCACTCCAACTCGTGAAGCATGCATAGATTTTTCAAAAGTGTAGCTTCTTCCTTCTTTGCATGAAAGGATGCAATGCACGCGCATTCGATTGCTTCATTCTTAACTTCCTGTTTGAAGGAGTCCCACTGAGCAAATATGCCAAATTTCTGATTCGTTGACACGTGATTAAAACATTCGCGGACACGTTTCTGAAAGTCTTGGTTGTCTAGCAGTCTTGTATTTAGTTTCCATAAAGCCCAATTTGGTTGTGCCTTTCGCGGTGCGTCTGTTCCAAAACGGATCTTTACAAGGCAGTGGTCCGAAAAAGAAACTGGTTTTACGTCATAAGCAGTCACGTGTGAAATAAGCGAGCTTGAGACGTAAATACGATCGAGTCTCGCATTGCTTGAAGCATGAAGGTGAGTGAATCGGAGAGTAGTATGTTGGGAAGCTCCGACGTCAAAAAGGTGATAGTCGTATACAAGAGTGTTTAGTATGTCGGAACTTCTATCGGGCCTTGCAGAAGGCACTGACCTGTCTTTTATGCTACACACACAGTTGAAATCTCCAAATAAAACAATATGTTTGTCGGTGCTGAGAAATGGGATCAGGCTTTCAAAAAAAAGAATGACGCTGTCTAACGTCATTATAGGCATATATGCAAATTAATCGCCAGTAGGTACCGTATAAAAGAAAATCGCAACATATGAACCTTCCCTTATCGTCGACAGTGTGAGAAAGTGATGAATACCCTAAGTTCTTGTTCAAAAACAAAAAACACTCTCCCGACAAGCCATCAGCATGACTGACGCATACCTCGTAATGTGAGAGGAAGGGGCCCAGTGCACGAGCAGTATCCTCGTCAGACGATATCTTTGTCTCTTGAACAGCAACAAAGTCAAGATGTTCCTTTAAAAGGAGCTTGTACAATTGAGACTGCCGTGCACGTGAACACAGTCCTCTCACGTTAATGGTAGCGAAGCTGAGGGGTGATGTCAGGAAGGTTTCTAGTTAGGGTGGGAGCACAACGTCATCGTTCCTCACGTCCAGAGCTTCAGATTGCGAAGTCTTGTTGCAGAAGAACTCTCGCACCGCAGTTGGCTTGCGTTTCACCTCACTTCCCTCGTCGTTCTTGCTCTCGGCAATGATACCTGAGGCGGAGGGCTGCGCGTTACTTGTCGTCGTAGCAGCAGGTCGTTTCACCGATGTGCCAGTGGACGTCGTGGCGCGTTCGCGTCGGGCAATTGCTTGCTGGCACGGTAACTCAGGTGGTGCGTTAAGGGATGGAAACTCGCTATCCGACCAATCTCTCTTCGTTTCCGTGACACACTCGGTTGGTGTTGACAGTCCTGGCAAGGTGCTGGCAGACTCGGGGTCAGAACGAAGTTCTTCTGGTCGCTGTGTAGACGTTTCCGACTCGGTCCTTTGTGTCTTGATAAGGGAAGAGGTGATGTCCCCTGTGGCATCAACGACTTCGCTGATGTCCATAAGATGATCGTGGACAACATCGTCTGCTAGGCTTCTCGACTGCGTCAGCTTGTCTGCGTAGGTGGTGACGCACTCACTCGCGTCGTGTCCGTAGCGTCGGCACTCGCCGCATCTCGGGACTCTGCACTCACGACGGACGTGACCAATTCTGTTACACCGAAGACACAGCGGTGGCCGACCAGGGACGAGCACCAGGCTTCGACAGCCGAAGACCGTCAGCTGATGTGGAATATTCGTTGCATTCATTCCTTCTCTAAGTGTCAGGGTCACCTCTTTGTTGAGCGTTTCCATTTGCTCCATTCCAGAGCACTTCCATTTTTCTCGTACAATGGAATGGACCGTGCCAAAAGGCGCCAGTGCCTCTTCGATTCTCTGGTTTTCCATGTGTACAGGTAACCAGAGAAGTTTCAGCTTCACATCTCTGGTGTCGGGATCGATGATGAGGCATCTGCGTCCCTTCACGGTAAGCTCCATTTTGTTTACAAGCTTAGTTTTACTTAAGGCGTTTGCGCACGTTACCATCCAGACATGGCTCATCTGAAATTGGCCTATTCCGATGATATCTTGGGCGTCGACAACATCTCGTAAGGCGTCACGGAAGTCTGGGGCTCGGTAGGGTCGTGCGGCGAGATCGCCATGAAGAAAGACGGAGTTCAGGCTCAAGTTACCTGTGGGTAGACGAGGTAGCACGGTCCGGTATTCATTGGTCAACATTTCAGTAGTACTGGCCGAAGCCTCAGCGGTTCCCCGGCCGGTGGCCGGTATGTTTTCCTTGGAGAACATCGAAAACACGACCGTTCTCAGCGGCGTCTTCTTCTTTCTCCCCACTCGGCCACCGATCCCCCCTGAAATTCATCATTCCTTTAAGTGCAAGCGAAACCGAATCTAAACGCTCGAGCATACTGCCCTGAGCAGTGCTTGCGCTGCACGAGTGCGCTTGCTTAGCAAATTCAAAACGCGGAGCTCGCTCTCGTAGCTTTTGCTCCGCTCACACTTAAAGTGAAACGGAGTATGATTGGCGCTGTGAATGTGCTGCCAAGCACGCGCACGTGCAGAGCAAGCATCGTCCCGGGCCCCAAGCTCACGCTTGATGCGAGCGCGCACATCGAGAGCTCGCCCTGCAGAACCCAAAGTTCACGAGTTTAGTCGGTTAGTCCCGACCTTGCCCGTTTTGATCTGGGTGAGCATCGTATCGCTGTGCGGTTATGTATCGCTACTGGGTACTGCTCGTTACAAAATCCAGAATATACTCTCTTAGGCTGGTCCGCAGTGGACCACACTACGAGCCATCTCGTTAAATCAAGCACAACCGGCCTGACACGCTGTTTCGCTCTCATCGCGTCGTTCTGCCAAGCCGGGAGGTCAGTGACACGTCATCAGCACTCAATATGCTCCAATGGGTCGTAGCGTCCGCGGCTATCTATTTTAGGGTGAAACGGAATATAAGTCATACTGCAATGCGTAAAGTTTTCATCAACATCGTAGATGTAACTACTAAGTGACGAGCGGCTGTAGCCACTTTATTATTTGAGCAGCATTGCGCTGTCTAAATATCTACAAACACCAAGTTAGGTTTCCAAAAATGCAACGGTGTTTGTGCTTGACCTCAGCTTCCTAAGGTCCTGCGTCCTATGTCTGACGTGTCGCTTGAGCAGACGAATTTTGCCACTGGGCAGGATTAGCTCGTATTAGCTGGGACCCCAATAAAAGCGCAACTGAGCTTTTCGCTTTCAAGTTTTACGAGGACACTTCCCCCACCCTCCTTTTTTTTTCTCTCTCTCTCCCCTGAGGTGGCAAGGGGGGAAAGGGGAAAGGGTGCGAGGAAGGGTTCTCGACGCTCGGCCTTGCCACGATCGAGGCGTCAGGTGGGGGCGGTCATTGCAATTAAGATGGGGTGCCCGCAGAAATCCTGGCTTTGGAAGTCCTCGCAATCCGGTGTCACACAGCTCCAGCTCGTAGCTTTGGCTAATGCATAGACGCCATTTTACCACATAGTCACACCGATCGCAGCTGCTTCTGCCGGCACGGCTGCCGTATTCGGCGTCGTCGGCTCATTGTCTTCATCCATGGAGGAAAGCACTATCCTAATTTGTATGTCAGGCATGGGGAAAAGTGCATCCTGCTTTCCTGGCATCTTTTTTGTGGGGAATTCTTAGCGCGGTTCTGGGGCAGTCGCCGCTCCCAAACCGAACCCGACGTTTCGATCACTAGCGAAATTGGGGATCGCCAGTGAAATTGAGGATCGCTAGTGAAATTGAGGATTGAACGAAGCCAGGATGGCACGAATTACAGCATGTGAATTTGCGCTAAACTCGAGTTGTCGCAGCTTGGAGGCGCCTGGAACATTTGAACTAACTGCGCGGTTAGCGGCTCCGACCTGCGCTGCCATGTCTGCTTTAATTGAATTAGTAGAAGCCTCAAATTTAAATATGAATCAATATATAAATACCTAGTACAAATAGC